ACAAATAAAGCGATGGGAGTGCTTCTACCTGGAAGCGCTCTTATAGCTATTTACCTATAGGAGAGCTAAGTATAGATCTATAGGAGCGCGTCTACCCGAAAGCTCTCTTGTCATAGGTTCACCTATTGGAGCGTGCTCCTGTATATAAGGAGAGGGCCTATATGTGGAGCAGTTTCAAAGCGCTCCTTGATGTCTCTTTTATAATAGTATGTAATGGATCAACTTGATTTTAATGTGGGCTTAAACCATAGAGCACTTTATCTTAATGGGTCATATGGTTATTACAGAAGACTTAGGCTATATTGGGATTTCCATTGGAAGAGCTTTTAGTGGCCGTAGCCTTAGGGTGTTCCCCCCCGGGGGGGGGGGAAGCCCAGTACGCAATTCAAGGTGAGCTTCCAACCTAAAAGCTCATTTAAACCAAAGCTCCAAATTCTGGCTTCTCATAGTTAAAGTGCATTGATCGTTTTCCTTTTTCTTCTCTGCCCTTTTCTCTCTCTTATGTCTCATCCTCTATTGTCATGGTTCGTTGGACCTTTCTCTCTTATGTTTCTCTCTCTTAAATATTGGATCTCTTCTTTTTTCCGTGGACCACACTTTTTTTTTTTTGGTAGACTAGGCAAGACCACACTTTGGTTAATGTGTGAAGGGTGTGGGTGTTTGATTTCTTTTTGGGAGAATTTTAACAAAGGACAAAGGATGTGACATAATTATACAGAAGGCCCATTAAAATCTGAAATTTTAATTTAGTCCAAGAAGAATGAAATGAAATTAATTTAAATGATGGAAAGACCAAAATAGCCTCAATTTCAACATTAAAAAAATAGTGGCCAAATACACATGTAATGTTAGGGAATTAACAATAAAAGTTAATGAATTAATAAGCGAGGTTACTCCATAAATTTGGATAAACTGATTGATCAAGTCTTCTCAAGGATTAACAAGTCAAGTAAAATAATTTATGAATGACGAGCTAGATTGCTTTAATTGTTGCACGTGTTAAAGGTGAAGCTTTGTAGCCAGTTATTCTGGGACCACATGCTAGCAGCAACTATGCAGGGGACCAAATTAAAATGGTTGATTGTGAAATTTTGGGTTGTTTCTTTTAATTTCCTTTGTTTCGTATTAAATGTGAAGTTTTGTGGTTTAGTGATTCTAGGATCATTCTCCAGCAACTTGTCAATGTCAGGGGACCAACATCGTCCGTCTCGTGATATTCGGATTCCTCTTCTATTAATGTCTTTTGGTTATTTCTAACATTTGCCTTTTGTTTTGTAGTTTGCGGGTCGAGATATTATATTGCTTTTCAGATAAGAATTGTTTGGCAAATAGAAAATAATACATGTGTTCTATGGAATTACTTGTTGTAAGCTTGGAAGGCATTACAATGTGAGTTGATAAACTTGAATTCCTTCAACAATGAACTCTGTAATAATAATTTAGATTAAAGAGCATTTTTTCCTTTTAACTATTTGGTCATGAATGTTCGGTATAGTTAACTTATATGTGATGTGATTTTTTTTCTTCAACATTTGAAAATCAGGCAATGGATACTTGTTAAAAAAGTTAATTTTAATCGTTAGTGGACCCACAAATTACAAAAAATAACCCAAAAAAGTTATGACTAAGTACTTTATAAGAAAATTAATATTGATTAAGTCCTTAAGATAATGAGATAATAATTTATAAGTCATCATCCAAAATTTATAAGTCCTCCTTCAAAAATTTACAACTAGTGTAAAAAATATGTTCATTTATAATTAATAAATACAGTAGTTAAATTGTAAATTTATAGAGAATGTGTAAATATAAAAATTTAACTTATAAATTGTATGTGAAAGATTATTTGTCAAAAAAATATTTTAATTAGTCATTGGTGTTGTTGTCAACAATTGTGATATATATTTTATTTACTTGGTAGCTGGTTAAAGTGATTAGTCAAAATTATATTTTAGTCTTTTGCATATAGGTAAAAAATAACATTTGCATCCTTGTATTACTATGTATTTTAGGAGACGTAATTTATATTAATTTTCTTATACAATATGAATGTGTAATTTTAAGATTTTTTTTTTGCAATTTTTAAATTAACAGTTAAGGATAACTTTTTAACAATAGAGTGCCAAATGCATCATTTTCATACATTGAAAGGAGAAATTACACCACATGTAAGTTTATATTATACATACATATATATATATATATATATATGTTTACATCATACGCTCTTGAGCAAATATTAAGGAGTAAAAATACAATTTGATTCTAATAATTTTGAAAGTAGATTAATTATAATTTGCAACGAAAAGTGGTGTAGAGAAAAACTGCTTTGTCGATTATTCTAGGGCCATGCATGCATATGGACGAGGAACGAGCTAGGGCCCAGGGGACCCGAAGAAGGTCCTGTTTTGGCAGTTTCTAATAATAGTCGTTTTGTTTAATTGCATTGAAAGGGAAATCCTTCGGACATTTGCTTTGTTCCCACATGTTTGTACTTTTGCTTGGAGTTGGATTGGCTTATCATATTTGATGTGGCAAATACACAATGCAAACATACGTGGAATACGAAATTTCCACATCTTATATTTCTAGTTTATGCATAACAGTTGAGTGGAGGCTCACCTGCTACGAGAAAACCATTTGAGAAAATATTACTTTTGGTCCTTAATTTTTTTTAATCAGCATGGTTTTAAAAACCAGACTGAACAGACTAATTCAACCGATTGAAGTGAAAACCGATTCTTGGTTTGGTTCGGTTGATACTCTAAAATCGACCATTAGAGAACAGACCAATGAATGGTAAAATAAGATAAAATCCGGACTGGTTCCCTTGAAAAACTAACACTACTATCAAATAGCATTAAAATTAATAAAAACTAAATTTTGCAGTAAAGCTCAACCTAAGTCATCTCTCTAAGAGTCAATAGAGTAATTATTTGAATTATGGTTATGAAAAGGCAAATAATGGGGGGTTTTTTATGATAAAATTAAAACTAAAATAGAATTAAATAAATAGAGAAAATTCAACTAAGAAAATTATCAAGTACAAGCAGTGCAATCAATCACAACCCAATCACTTAAATTTAATCTTCCTCGTCCACAAATTAAATAAATTTTATTTAACTTTATTATTCTGATTTTATTATATATTTCTCAAATTATCATTCAAGAATTAAGCAAAAAATTAAGTTATAGATTAATTGAGATCTCCCTTAATCCACAACTTGATAACTGTTTTATGTTAGCCACACCAAAAACAAAGCATGAGTAATCACTCAAGCCAAATTAAATTATTCTTAAGTTACTATATCAATCAATTATAGCAAGTAAAACCTCAGACAAAATTTATAACTCAAAAATTATGCAGTAAAACTACTCTAATCAACAATAATAATTAAAGCATAAAATTTAGAGGTAGAGAAAAGAAGAGCAAATTAAAATAAAGCTAGAATAAAATATTTTTTAAATATTAAAGACTCTGATCAAAATTTAGGATCATGGTTTGTGATTGATCACACTAAAAAAAATTAGCTCTTCATAAAACTAAGAACAAAACAGCAGCGTCGCCTCTGATTCTTTTTTTTTTTTCGTCCAAGTCGTCTCTTTCCTGTACGTTCCTTCCTTTACAAATATATAATCTATCAGGTGATGCGTGCAGCGTGCGTCTCCTTCTATAAATAAAACTTAATAATTTAATAAAATAACAAAACTACTCTAAATAACCCTAATTAAAAACTGTACTAAAAAACCTAAAATAAATATAAACAAAGTTTTAAATATTTAATTCTTGATTTGATTTTCAAGTATGCTCATGTTCTTCTTATCTAAAATATTCTTTATCAATATCTTTTAAATTGAATCTAGAAAATCTGCACAAATAAAATAAAATTAAATAGCACCTGCGTACAAATATTAAAGATATCATTTATATTTTAAAATTAAATATTTAGTTAGCTAAAATTTCAAAACTGAATATTGGTTAATAAAAATTAAATAATATCTAATTAAACTTAGTTAGCCTCAAATAAATATTTAAAAGTCTAAATTAAAAGGATAAAAGTATATAAAATTGCCATTTATCAAAAACTGAACCAAATTAAAAAAAAAATAAAAACTTGACCTTTTTAATTTAGCTTAAACATGCTGTTAAAAAATGTCTAATATTTTATCATTCTATCAACATCTTTCTTGATTTTTAAATGCATTTCTTATTAATTATGATACATAAATTAAAAATATATTAATTTAATGTCAACCAGCTCAACTATAATTTGACCAATGAACCATTAATTAATGTCTAGTCTGGTTCAATAACTGGTCTAATTTTTAATAGTTTAAAAAAAAGAGGCTGATATGGAGTTAAAAAAAAACTCTCAACTTAAAAGAGAAGGGTAAAGCGGGAGAATTGGAGAAGGAGCGAAGCTCATCGCTTGAAGAGGAAAGGAGGTATGGTTGAACAGCGAAAACTCATCTCAGTTCCCCCTTTCATGCAAGGACGATGCGTGCACACCACTTTTTCTATCATCTACAATTCTCCCTCCATTTAAAGGATAATAATAAAAAAATATTATTAATGAAATATTATTTTTCTCAAATTGTCTTATTTTTTAAGACAATTTTTTTTAAAAAAATTATTTTATAATTTGAAAGGGAGGGAGTATAATTTAAAAGATAACATGTAAGCTGCCAGATATGTTAAAAATAGTTGAGGCGTTTCAATTTCATTGGTCAGCTCATACATGAGGTGATGACCATGGTCTATACAAGAATTTCACTTCGATTTATTTGAGTTTTTATATTATTTCATTAATATTTTTATTTATTAATCGCCCCATACAATACACGTGGTTGTTATAATTAGTAATTAATAATATTGCCTTTGGCCTTCCCATGCAGCATGCCCCATCTTTATAAATAGGCAAAATCCATTACACCATGAACACACCAACCTCAACAAACAAGAAAATCACCATCTTATACCCTCCCACCATCGATCGATCATGGCTTCCAAAAGCCAAGTTCTCATTCTCTTTCTTTCTCTCCTCACAGTATCCTCCGTCATCAATCCATCCCAAAGTGCCAAAATCGTCGTGTCCTGGGGACAAAACACTGCATCGAAGGAAGGAACCTTAGCAGAAGCATGTGACTCAGATCTCTACGACATCGTCGCTCTGGCGTACCTGCATGTGTCGGGAAGCACAAGATCCTTAGATTTCGCTGACCACTGTTCTAGCGAAAAATGCAAAGCCCTAGCATCGCAAATTCAACACTGTCAAAGCAAAGGCAAACAAGTCTTAATTTCTGTCGAAATAGACAATGTCGCTGCACCCGATTACTTGGCAGAGTATCTTTACAATAACTTTCTTAGTGGCCAAGACGGCCCTCTAGGAGCGGTGACCTTAAATGGCATCAATATTGCAAATATTGATTACAGCTCCGAGCCATGGGTCGACCTTGTGGAGGCAATCTATAGTTATTCGACCCAGGACAAAAAGATTTACATATCAGCATCCCCACGTTGCAGTATCACAGCCTTCGACAGTGCAATTGCTACAGGTCATGTAGATTATCTCTGGGTTTTATTTTACGGCCAATACGAAAGCTGTGAATATTTAGGAAATGACGACTACACAGGGCTTATTAATTCATGGTCGAAATGGACGTCCAAGAAAGGTGTAGCCGATGGCTCTGTGTTCTTGGGCTTAGTACCGTCAAATGATACGGCTGCAGCATCCTATGGTTACATAAAACCGCAAGATCTCAATTCTAAGGTTCTTCCGATCGTGAAGGAATCTCCAAAATATGGTGGAGTGATGCTGTGGAACAGGTACTATGATAAGATAACAGGCTATAGTACTAAGATTGACCCTGCTGGGTCAAAGGGATTCAATAGTCTCTTGGCCAAATCTGCGTAAGATGGGATGTACGAGCTATCTAGGTTTGCATGCTAGCATGTAAATGCCACCTATACATGTTTGACTACAACCATGTAATAGGTATCGCTTAAATAAAGATCTGCTTTTTATAAATTATATTTGAGTAATGTTTCATGAAGTTCTTTCTTTGTTTTTTTTTCCCTCGTTTTAATTTACACAGATAGCATTTAACATGAAAGGACAAAAAAGTCATTAGCACATATGTATATATTTAAAATATAGGGTTAAAGCAATTTCATCCTTACATTATAGATTCAAGAATATCTAGAACCCTAAATTCATTTTTGGTATAATGTTCCTCTTTAATATTAAAAAACAGTGCAATATAATGCCACCTTTACTTTTAAAAAAAATTAACTTTGACTATTAGTTGCCTAAAATATTACAGCAAAAAACCTAAAAGGTTAAAGAAAAGGACATCAAAAACTTATAAAGACTGAGTTTAATTATCATGTTTAAAGATTGTAATCCAAGGCCTCATTTACAACATTGATCTTGGGCCATGTTAGGATATCAGTCTGTAAATATTGACCTTTTGTTTGGATAGAAAGAAAAATTGAGAAAAAAAAAACATGAGAGAAAAGAAAATAAAAAGAAGAGAAAGTTAAGAAGAAAATATCATATATCCTTGTGTTTGGATTAACAGAAGAAAAAAGAGAAAAAAGAAAATGAGCAAATATTAGAATTGCTAATACCCTTGTGTGAAAATATATCGTGTTTTTTATACTTATATTTATAATAATAAATTGACAGAAAAAATTATATTAAAATTAAATTCATCAAAATAAATTAAAATCAAATTGTTTATTAAAGAATATATTTTCATGTTATTATATTTTAAAACAAAATAAATTAGTTAAAAATATATATTTTCTATTTACAAAATTAACAGTGGATAATTTATTAAAATTAAATATAGTAAAATAACATAAAAAATTATAAACTTTGCCCTTCTCCATCACCAGTCCACTAGTATTATTAGAATTAGAAACATTCCTGGGAACCGATCTCTTTAATCACCAGATTCTACTAAATAAATGCATTAATATTAACATATAATTTATAACATAAGCATTTAGAACTTTGAGGACCGGTGGAAAAACGCAAATGTGCATCCAGTGGAGCATAGCTTTAATTGGTGAGACACATATAACTGATCTGAGGGTGCAGAAGAAGAGTGCGGGATGTGCGCGCGCGCGTGCGTGTGTGAGTGAGAGTGAGAGAGAGAGAGAGAGGGAAGAAGGATGAAAGAGAAGGGCAGATATGGAGCAACAGCTTTCCTTACAAAACATCTTCGTGTATGGAGATAAATTTTGGGGAGAAAATATGATAGGTCCCACACCTTGTTTTCTCTCTTACTTTTTCCTTCTTATTTTTTTTTTTCTTGTCATCAAAATGGGAGAAAATTTGTTTGCTCTCTTATCTTCCTCCTACATTTTCTTTCCTTTCATGCTTTCTCTCCATCCAAACAAAACATAAAAGATAAGTCTTGAAAGACTGTAATCCAAGTAATACTTGCAAGTAAGGAAAAACCTTATAATCATGAGTATTTTAACTGTTTCAACAGCGATCATTACCTGTCACTTATAAACAGATAAGCATTTTAACTGTCACTTTTTTGATGTATTTTATCACTCAAAATAATCAATTTTGGCTTTTAATTGGGAGAAATCAAGTATCATTTCCTCATTTGTTGAATTTATTGGGAAATCAAGAAAAAGGAGCAAGTTAATGGGCTTTAAACTATGCAAAACAAACTCGAGACCAAAATAGGCCCAAAAAGGGGATGACCGTTCATGGATAAGCAGCAAAAGACTCACAATCGTTCACGGATGACGGCTAAGATGTTCAAGAACATTCTTTGTCGAAGACCAATACATGCCTCCACCATTTGCGGATTAAGAAAGGGTTCTGAAGGAGAAGTAAAGCCTCTAGAAGAAACCGGTCGCGGAACAAGCTAAGCCAATTCAACTCAGGTCACGGTCGAGAGACGAAGGGCCGACGTGTTTGCCCCGTGTGCGAAAGAAGACGAGGGAGAGGCGAAGTTCGTGCTTCGAATATGCTAAGAACCTTCACTAACAAAATTGAAAATCTAGTTAAGATTTCACATAATCTTGAAGATGCTCGATCAAATTCAAGATACAAACCTTCCTCTTCTTAGCCCATATCACAACCTTTACCATCGACCCAATTGTTTTACCATAAGCATTCAGTCTTTAATCACGACTAGAAGACCTCATGCTAAAAAAGCCGTGCAAACCTCTAAACTTGACCAAAGTAGTCTTCAAGCAATCTCTATAAAACAATACGTTGTTGGAATTGTTTGTTCTTGATCAATCAAACTCATACTTAAATCATAGAAAATGATTTCAACCAAAGCGATAAACTTAGACATAACCCCATACCAATTAAGAGAAGAGGATGACATTGTAGACGCAGCAAGACAATGACTCACAAAAATTAGAGTATGTTAATTTAGGACACACTTATATAATTCAATCCAAAACTTTTGTTGTTGTTTATTAAATTTTGAATTCCATTTTAGCTTGATTTCATTTTAACTCCTTACGGATTCGACCGAGGTTGCCAGTGGGGAAACTTAGTTTATTTGAGGCATATACACCAACTATTGCTCATCAAATTTAGTCTCGCAGCTAGAGTTGGATAGATTGAAATTTGAATTAAATTTGAAGTGTTTCTAAGTTTATATTCATTTTTGTTCCATTTTAGATTGATTTTCATTTCATTTTGGCTAGAATATTTTGTTATCAGTTTTTTCATTGTTTGTCTGAAACTTGTTCGAAAGTGTCCAGAAAATTCTAACACTTGGTATTCCATGAGATTTTAAGTAACAAATAAAACTTGTATCTGGCAATTAATACTTGATGAGAAAACCACCTCTCACTTCTCGTAGACTGTCCACACGCAATTGGGAGATGGAAATGGCTCGTGCGTTACAGAACACTGGAGTAAATTCACGACTCTTGGCAGAGAAGAGTGGATCCCTTTGAACCTAAAGAACGATGCTGGTAAGGAATTCAAAAAACAGGTACGATGGGATTTACTCTTTGGTTATATATGTTGGGACATTGGGTGTGATAGGTGTAAAAAGCTGCTTGATGAGGAGGATATGGCTAGTACAGGTTCTGGTTTTACTACCCTTCAAAAAGTAAAGTGAGATCTGTATATTTCACAAATGTCTTAGACGCTAAGGAAAAATAGTAAGAGATATCACGATCAATGGTGTTGACCAGAGTTGGAAATGTAAGCTATTAGAGACAAGAGAGATAAACTAGAGAAATATTAAAAAATGTCATATCCATTAATCTAAAGGGTACAATATATACACTAAGAAATAGACAACACAATAATGACTAATAATTATATAATAATATCACATAATAATTTTTAATAATGACTAAGATATATACACAATAATGATATAATATATTTGGAGAATATTCTAGATAATAAAGAACAGTTAAGCTAGACATAGATGGGTCTATACAAGGAGATATTAGCAAGTGTGGGGGAGTTATAAGTAGTAATCAGGTAGAATGGATTGCAGGTTTTACGCATGCGTTGGAGCCTGCCCCATTGCAATTACAAAGATGCTGGGTATAATGTATGGATTACAAAATGTACTGGGATAAGTGTTTTCGAAGAATAAACGTGTTCACGGATTGTGCTAAATTTATTAACCTTTTGTTTAGAAGCATTGTTGACAATCACCCCTACAGAGACATCATTGAACAGGCCAGAATCTTTTTGAATATGGAGTGGCCTGTTACTGTTAACTTAATGTTTAGAGAAGCTAATGTTTGCTCTCACTTTTGGCTAGGTATGCTTTGTGTTTTTTTAGGTGGTTGGCAAACATTTGATCAACCACCCTCTTATTGTATTAAGGTGGTGGATGATGAGAGACAATTAACTTTGACTTCTACTCGTTGTAATTGTTAAGTTGATTTGATACACTTTTCTATATATTAAAAAATAATAATAATAAAGGACGGCCGAAAGCGATGAAGATGACATGTCATGTAAATATATAGTCATAGATGTATAAGATGATAATGGCAAGCTAATTACAGAACATAGAATCATATGATACACGTGCTTGTGGCTAGCTAGCGGGATGAACTTCAATATTTTTATCCTTTGTCATCAAATGGTGACCACAGACACATGGCTTTAGCTGCAAATAATGTACAATTATAATAATGTTGGATGGATAGATGTTGGCAAACAGAAGAAGTAAACAATTCCATTATATTTATGTATGTGATCCCCTGCTTTTTTTTTTTTAATATTTGGCATCTTAGCTTATTATTAGTCTGTTTTTTCTAAATTGTCCTAGTATATGTGTAATTTTTTTTGTCAGTTGAATGTGCAATAAGTAATTAATGATGTCATCGTTCGTTTTGTTTTATTCAGTTGAATAGCTTATTAACTAGAATAATTAAAAAGGGGAATGACATTTGAGAACCAGCCCATAAAATTTGTCCTATTTTAGTACTAAATAAATTTGGGATTATTAAAAAAATCACAAATCCGGACTACTAAAGATTTTTTTAATGATTGGATTAAGAGAAATTTTATCTTATAATCTATTTACTAAAACTCCCTCATTTTCAATTTTTCAATGACGAATATAAGTTGCACATTAATGATTTTGTAAGTTACAAATCAAGGAAAATTAATATGAAATCAATGCAATTGACAAAAAAAGAAACTTTGACAGCTTAAATTTCCATTTTTATTTCAATATCAAGGTTGCAAAGGAATGCTTAAAAAATTAAAGTAAGAAAAAGTTGTTTCGAATTAATAGAAATAACAAAATATTACGAGTATACATTTGTATTCTCAATATAAAAAGATGAATATTAGTCGCAAATAAAAAAAAATATATCAAATCACTTGAAGTGACAGAAACTCTAAAAGGTACAATTTTCGTTTTCCATGCTAAAAAGATAAATATA